GGTCGACGCTGACGCTCCATGACTATCCCCAGATCATTGCAAATTTCTTTGGCATAATTAACTCCATTACTCACTAGCTTGTCCCTGTTTTCAACTAGAAATGTTTCTAATGCCCTGAGTTTTATATCACATTGTTGTATGTTCAAGCCCTTGGTTTGGAGGTAAGTCTGTGTGTCGTTAATTTCTAGAAGGACGGGTCCCCACAGGCCAAGAAAGCACAAAAAGGAAAATGATTGCAACGCACCAAGTAGAACACCAGCATCTGCCCTGGTAGCTGTATTTTCTTCTTCACCAGTTAACTTTTCTAGGGCACTTAAGATTTTTGAGAAATGTTTCTTTACAACACTTACAGCTTCTCCCCTCGCACTCCACCGAGTTTCTATTATGCGCTTGACACTTTGACCAGTGACTGAAGTTAGAACATCCCAGCGATGGGTTGATGAAGAAAAATATACAAACAAACGCTCCACACATCTAAAAAAAGGTAACAGAATTCACAGCAACAGAAGCTGCATGAACACCCGCCAAATTCAGCGAGTGATTTATACAAGCGACAAATTCTGCTTTTTTATTAATTTCCTTGATACGTTTCTGAACACCAGTATGAACACCAGCCATCACCGCAGCATTATCATATGCTTGCCTTCTACAATTTTGAATATCAATTCCGTCTTTCTCTAATTTTTCCAAAATCATCATTGAAATATTCTCGGCGGTTTTACCTTTTGTTTCAATGAAATCGACAAATGATTCCACAACCTTCACCTTATCTCCATCGATCATAACATAGCGTAAAACTTGGCTCGTTTGATCCTTATGTGAAATATCAGGAGTGCTGTCGAATATCATGGAAAAGTACTTTGCTTCTTTTACTTGCTTGATGACTTTGCTTCTTACGTTTTCTCCCAAAATTTCTATAAACTCGTTCTGAATAGTAGGAGACAGATGTGGGTCAGGTGTTAGGTCAGACACGACAAGGATTAACTTGCCGCAGATACAAAGGGATGGATTAACGTCTCCAGTAGCTGCAGATATGGGTGATGAGCAGACCCAAAAGTGCCGCCCCCCCCCCTAGCTGCGCTAATGGTCGCAGAGCTGCTCTAGGGTGTCTAACCTGCGGTGTAGAGACAGTAGCTGTAGAGCCGATGAGAGCTGCCTCTGTGTGGATAAGCCAGTCTTCCATGTTGCTTGAAGACTGGGAGCGTGATCTGTTTCTCCTCCATCCTGTGTGAGTGCGTCACTCCGGGGGTCACCATTTGTGGGGTATGAGTTGTTTGGTTCACACTCAGGATGGGATGGAGAAAGGAAACTCACAATGTGCTCTCTGTATACATGTTGTATTGGATGTACAATGCAGCTTGGTGCTGGGAAGGCAGCATGGTTACAAGCGTGATGTAGAGACAGCTGGTTGGTGAGGGTGCTCAGAGGAGGACAGCTCAGCTTGTGGGTCGCCATGCTCGCCGGAGGGAGCCAGGACCGCCAGGCAGGCGGAGGAGGAGGAGGTGTTGCTGGCTGGTTGGTGTAGGCAGAAAAGAGAGAGATTACCGTTGTTGTTGTTGTAGAGATTGTCGGACCGTAGTCCGACACGGGCCTTTGCCTATAGGCGGCCCGTTTGGTGGTTCCGGCTGGAGCTCCAGGAGCAGCCAGACCAGATTGGGATTGGAGGTGGTCCCACCTGCAGATTGGAGGGATACTGCAGGTTGCAAGTGTGAGCGGACCCCCGATCAGTGGACGCTTACCACCAGCCCCCACTCTTGGACGTGGTCAGCTTCGGAGTGGCGCGCCCCCCGAACTGGGGTCCGCACTTGCTGGGAGAGGATGCTTTCTAAGCTATCTGGGTGGTGGGTATCGTGTGATGACCCGGAGTAGGTGGTGAATGTGGTCTGTATGGGCCTTTCGGGTTAGAGTGGCCGCTGGTGTTGTGTGTGTTTCTTGGGAGATTTGAGTTCTGTTTCGGAGGCTTTGTGTGACCTCGCAATCGAGGAGATAGTGTTCAAGTGGGTTGGCTGCTGGCTCCTGACAGTAGGTGCAATCCATGACGTCATTTCCGATCATCTGCCAGGAGCACTTGTACCCTAGTCGTAGTCGATGAAGGCTGACTTGGGTTTGTCTTGGAGTTTTCTTGTCAGCGAAAGGTGGTTCCCCTTTTGTGGCCGCCAGGTACCATTTGGCTGATTGGGAACCAGCGTTGAGTGCATGAAGGAAGTTCTTTTTGATGTGGAGCTTGCTAGTCTTTCTGAGGTGATTCTTAATCTGTTGCACACTTGCTGGAACTTGGATGTGTACGCTACTAGAACGTGTAGCTGCCTTGGCTGCTTCGTCTGCCACGTCGTTTCCTCCGATCCCTACATGACTGGGAATCCAGTGTAAGACGACTGGTCGGTTTTGGCTTTGGAATTCCTGTAGCTGTGCGAGGATCGAGGTGATGATGTGGACGTTGTCTCTTGGTTGACTGTGTTGCAGCGCCTGCATGGCCGATTTCGAGTCCGTGTGAATTATGATCGACTTGTTGTGTTGTGTTGCAGCGTGTTGTAGGGCCTTTGAGATTGCTACCAGTTCTGTTTGTAGGGTGGAGCAGTCATTGGAAAGTCTCCATTGGAGGGTCTGACCTTGGGTGTAGAAGGCCGCTCCGGATCTATGATGTTTTGGGTCCACCGAGCCGTCTGTGAAGTATGATGCTGCATCAGCCGGTGTCTCGGTGGCTATGGCTTGGAGAGTTATTTTTTTGAGGTCCTCCTTCTGGAGGTTGGCTTTACTATCGCCGAGGTCGGTGAATTTGAGTGTGGCTGGTGGAGGGCTCCATGGTGGAGGAACAGTGTAACCATTGTCTCGTGTGTCTTGGTTGTTCTTGACGAGTGTTTCTGCTTGCAGGTGTCGGATGACCTCGCTTGCCTCGTGCGACCAGGTGGCCCCTCGCACTCTGTGGTCGAGGTGGAGGGAGGCACTGATTCGAATCTTGGCAACTGTGGGCTTGTCTGCTCTACAGATTTTGGCGAGGAGACCGGCTGTCACCTGCTTGACTCGTACTGCCAGGGGTGGTAGTTCGGTTTCCATTTGCAGATTGCAAATTCTGGTCCACATGGGTGCTCCGAGCATGGTCCTGAGAGCATTGTTTTGGATGACTTCTAGCTTAGCTATTTGGTCTTCTCTCAGTCCAATGAGTGCTGGAGCACTGTAATCTACCAGCGATCTGATGGCGGCCGTGTAGTAGGCTTTGAGCACATGAAGGTTTGCTCCTGCGGATTTGCTGGTGAGCGACCTCATTATATTGTGTCTGCTCTTCGTCCTGTGCCTGAGATACTCTGGTGGTCTTCCTCGACCTGGAGAAAGCCTTCGAACTAGCAAATCCCTTGGCCATTACAACTACGCTCGCTAAAAAAGGCGTCAAAGGAAGGTTGCTGGGGTGGATCCAGAACTACCTCACACAGAGAGAAGCACGAGTACGCTTTCAGGGAGCAACCTCAAGCTACAGGGTCGATGAAAACGGAACCCCACAAGGAGGCATCCTCAGTCCAATGCTGTTCAACGTCCTGATGGAAAATCTAGTCAAACTTCCCTTCAGACAAACAGCCAAGCTCCTATGCTATGCAGACGACTTGCAGCTTATAGTAAGAGGATCGAACAGACTAGCCAACACGCAACACGCACTCCAACTTATAGAAGAGGAGTGCAACAGACTTGGACTCAAGATAAATCCAGCCAAGTCGAAAGCGATGGCCATCTGCAGAGATTACCACGAGGTCAGGTCTTAAATAGCGGGGGTAGGCGTGGCTTAGTAGTTGACCTCCGTGATGTATGGCGGCGCTGGTTGACCCAGACCACGAGGCACACACTGTGGAATTCGCGGGGTCGGCTACTCAGCGACAAACAGCGTTTGTAGGGGAGAAATCCACTACAATCTTGTAGTGGACGTCTCCCCTACAACTGCGTATCGCATTCCAATGTGCCGCCTCCCCTAGCAACCAAGCGAGAGCTGTCCCCAGATGTTACCGTATCTTAGCAACGGAACTAGTCACCGGCTACTTCTCGGGTTTTCCCACCATGACTCATAGCGGCTGCTGCGGGGTATATAAGCTCTGTCTCTCCATTGAGATTCATTCTGACCAATCTTCTTGAACAAGCAACACCTCCTCCTCTGCCGCTGCCTGGCGACCCTCGCTTCTCCTAGCCTGCCTGGCGGTCTTCGCTCCCGCCAGCGAGCATGTCCTTCTCTGAGCTTCCTCACCAACCAACTCTCATTCTGCTCATTTTCCTGAACAAGCAACATCTCCTCCAGCAAGCTCCTAGCTGTTAACATTTATTCAACCAGGAGGCCAGCAACAGGCAACATCTTCTCTAACGAAGCTCCTCCACATCTACCTCCTTCAACAAGCTACTCACCGCACGTCTCTACCAAGCAGCCCCTCACCACACAGCATCTCCAGCACCAGACTGTCAATCATATAACTTATATATATTATATAAGAAAACCACATTAGAGTTTCCTTCCATCTTGAGTGCTAGACGACATTAAATATCTCGATACCCCTAAAATCTCTTTACGTCATAAATAATGTGATGACAATATTGTAACTTTGTAAGGTGGTATCTGAACAAAATATCTTTAATTTTATTGGTTTACCTGTTTTTCCTTTCCATATTATCCTCCAGGTTTTCTAAGACAAATAATTTTAAATAAAAATACTTTATAGTTTTTTTTTTACCTTTTATTTCAGCAATCTTATTTTATGTTACTGAAATGCACGTCAAAACAAACATCACTCAAGATTTTGATAACATTTGGTATATATGTGAGCGTTCCGTTGAAAGTAATTCAATTTATGAGTTTAAAAATCTACATACATTAGTATACTGTATAATGCTGTATACGTGTATTTCTTAGTAATATTTACATATCATTTTTGTAATAAACTGTATGTAACAATAAAAACATGTACTACTGTATAAATTTCTTCGTGTTGCGTCTCTAACGTATGAAGATTATTGTATGCGACTCTTGGGTTAAGCAAGTCTGGTCTGGTCACCCCTGGACCTGGTAATATCCCTGTAGGCTCGTATCTTTCAAAACATTACGGTCTCCTGCCTGCAAGTTCTTCAAAGTATTGTCACATGCAAAGAAAGTATGAATGCTATACCTGGGGCAGCACAACTCTTCGATGAGTTAGATAGTAAGTATAAGTTTAAGGTAAATGTATGATTTTAACCGAGGAATTAAGAACAGTAAATACTTCACATCAAACACAGGTGAAGTATCTGTTAGTTTTTAGTTTTACATGTCTTGGTTTGCACGCCTAAAAATGTTTTCTTGGTGATTTTCATCAAAGCATTAATTTTAATACACTAAATGAGGATACAGGGTAATTATATAGGATTAACGCGGGTAAATGGTTGAAAACAATTATAAAAACGGCGGGTTTTTTTTTATATTAAAGTGGACACTTGTAGTTTGCAGAATTTTTTTAAGAACGGATATTTTTAAAATAAACGCTATTTAACATTTATGGTTATGAAGAATAGACCGAACCAACCAAATCAAACAAACTTGCCTAACCTTACCTAACTTCCCTGGTCTATTAAACATAAAGAACTTACTATATGGGGAATTTTGAGGGATTTCTAGACGTGAGATGATATGGCCGCATCAGCGATATGCAGCCTGGCGGGTTAGTCCTATATATTAACCGGATATAGTAATGGACCAAAGGAAAGCGAACGTTTAATTTACTTTAGAGTAAGGTGGTACCTATTCATCCATTGGCTGTCCTCGGGTTTCGGTTTGAGAATAGAATTTTTTTTGGTGTATTATACTCAAATCTAACCGTCATTTGGCTACTATGGAGGACTTCACAGCTGCTTTCCCCGTCTCGGTAACAGTAAGTTCGCCCACGGCAGGTGTTAAATTATGCTAGGTTAGGTTAAGTTAGGTTAACTAAACTTTTTGAACCTTTAAATAACTACTTTTAACACATTTTCGGTATTATTTTACTCTCATACATAGTGCCCCCGAAAGTTATAAACTACTGAATCATTTAGATCTTGCTATTCTGAGCATTTTGAACCCCATATCATGGCAGAAATGGATAATAGCGCCACAATTGAATTTAATTGATTTTAAGTAGTTTTCAGTCTTCGTCTGTGAGGAGATGTTATCTGCGCATCACGCATGCGCAGTGTTGACTGACCTCATCCAGTCGTGACCAATGAGGTATCGATATCCCGCAAATTTTTTTCGACCAATCACATTTTATTTTTTCAAACGAAGCAGCCTGGGTAATTTCATTGACCAGTCTCACAATGGCTGTGGTGGAGGTTGGTTTTCATTTGTGTTCCTACAATTATTTTAAGTTTATTGTCGAGTTTTATGAGAAATACGATCAATCTATCCAATTCTTACGTATCCCTGATCCTTCCACTTCTAATTAAGGTATTGTACTTTCGGACATGGTGCACCCCAAAGTTTTTAACTACTGAAACATTTAGGTTGGTTTAAGCTTGGCCTCACTGGGGTCTGCCGGTTAGGGGTCAGGTTAGGTCTACCGGGGGTCTGGGGGCAGAGTCCCCGGCTAGGAGTTAGGTTAGGTTTTGTTAGGTCAGATGACTCGTTTTCTCCCCCACCCAAAAACCCCGATTTCCCAGGCTCTCCCCCATTATTGTTGGGGGGGGGGGGGGTCAAAAACTATCAATTTCTGCCAAAAGTGAAGGTCAGATTTGTTTAAAACACACCAAAATACCAAAACACCAAAAAGTACAAGTTTACCACATTTTCCTTAACTATGACAGTGTCCACTAAAAAACACAGTGAAATTGCGGCATTTTAAATCATAGTGGATATTTTGCCATGGCTGGCTAAGTTCTTACGGATACATCCCATTTCGTTACCACTAACAGTCGCTGTTATTAGTGACAAATTGTAAGTTATTATATTACACGAATATAAATTACACATGTATACAGATGACTCAAGAAGTATTGTGTTATTGTTATACTGTACATGAATATTAATTATATAATAAAGAAAACAATTAAAACATTGGTAAATAAACAAAATACAGAACAAATGAAGCAAACTAACCTACATAACCTAACCTGATAATTTATTAGACCACCGCTACAACCAGAAGGAGTTGTTCGATTTTGTTCAGTTTTTCCACATGTTCTTATCATTAGAGTAAGTATTTTAATAGAGATTACAACTTTATTTTAATTAAAAAAAATTTTCTCTCTACAATCATAAATTCCCTGTAGTGGTCAGAGGATGGGGTTGAAGGAAATTGTGGGGTAAAATATGGTGAAAACTGATCATTTGACACTAAAATTATGTCTCTGCTTATTTTATATGTGAAGAAATTAATTATTTACCGTAAATACTCACCAAAAAATCTTCAATCGTGGTGGTAAAATTACACCATGATGCTTCAACAAAGTTGCTTTCATTAGTTCAGTACCAGATACCATAGTACAGTGGGGTATGCTATAACGAATCTAGTTGGTTCTAGAACCTCGTTCGTTATAGCATTCGTTCGTTATAGGATTAATCCGTTCCAGGCCCCCAAATACAACCACTTAACACTGAAAAAATTCTGTGGAAAATGTAAAAAATACGGTACTTTATCTTACCTTAATAATAATAATAATAATAAACGGTTTATTGAAAAAGTTTGTAGCCCGAAGGCTAAAAATATACATTGGACATAAATGACTTATTACATACATTGGTGGTTTAACAAAAGCCTTCATTAAAGAAAGGTGAAGGAACATACAGTGAACAGACAGATTAATGTTTACACACGTAGATCATGTGAGCTGAGGTGTTGAACAGCAGGCACGTAGTGTAGTAACTCCCTCACAAATGGCGTTATGAGGGGCATCACATGGAGTTCTAGTTCCCTTACAGGTGGTGTTATGAGGGGCTTGACGTGGTGTAGTAATTCCTCACAGATGCTGTTACGAGGGGCCTGATGATGTAGTAGTTACCTCACAGATGGTGTATGAGGGGCCTGATGATGTAGTAATTCCCTCACAGATGGTGTTATGAGGGGCCTGATGTGGTGTAGTAATTCCCTCACAGTTGGTGTATGAGGGGCCTGATGTGGTGTAGTAATTCCCTCACAGATGGTGTTATGAGGGGCATCACATGGCGTAGTAATTCCCTCAAAGATGGTGTTATGAGGGGCATCACGTGGTGTAGTGATTCCCTCACAGATGGTGTTATGAGGAACCTCACATGATGCTGTAGCAACTCATTCACTACGTGGTGTCGTAGCATCATGGGGACACCACGTGGTCAGTTGTCACAGGACTTCACTCACTCAAGTGGGTGAGGTGTGGTCCCAGGCTTCTCTATCGTGGAGTCTCAGGGGAATTATCACTGGGTACCTGGGACCTCACTGTGTGAAGGTTAGCTTGGGTAAGACTCAACTGCCGAGTTGTTTTTCACTGACTTAAGCACTGTTCACCACTATTCAACACTGGTTCCATTCCTTTCCTAAATGAAATAGTAACTTCTGGCGAGAACTTGTTGATATTCCCGTGGGGAGGAGGGTTCAGGGGAGGGAGTTGGTATGGGCCAACATAACAGTTGACGTGGCTGCTGCTGAGCAGCACCAGGTGCGTCTGACCCGTCTTGACCGGTCGGTGGTGTGTGTGTGTGTTAGCGTAATAGTAATAATAATAATGATAATAATGATAATAATAATAATAATAATAATAATAATAATAATAATAATAATAATAATAATAATAATAATAATAATAATAATAATAATAATAATAATAATAATAATAATAATACAGTTGTACCCCACTTAACGCGGTCAATTGAACCCAGAGGGTCCCGCGTTAAGTGAAATCCGCGTTAAGTGAACAACAGAACATATGGGATTAATTCCAATAGAAACCGGCCCGACCCCCAAACTCCACTTTTTGAAGGCACATACCTATGTTGTAGTAAAAATAACATCTTAATTTTATGATGGTACATGCACACAATTAATACTTAAGAGAAATAGAGAAATACAGTCGCCAAGTTAATGTCCATTCAAATAATGGACTCAACTCCCTCCCACTCTCACACTACACTGCCAGCTCTTTCCTCTCAGAGAAATTTTTGGGGGAAACCACTAAATTTTAATAAATAATACCTCAAACTAAAGTTAGGATAATACAATTGACATTGCTGGATTCCTTGTAAGACCAGGAATATTTTGAATATAAATGTCATATATTTTGCACAAAAGATAACATAGTTACCTAGAGAAAAATTTTTATCTAAAAATTGTATGTTTAATGCAAAATATATGATGTTTATATTCAAAATGATCACCAAATTATAAGAATTCCAGCAATGTAAATTATATTCTGACCCGGTAATTTGTATGAATTTTATGAGCTAAAACAAATATCTTCAGTTAAAAAAAAAAATAATAATCTTCACGACACTATCTGTCAATCAAAGTACCCCACCTTGCATCCCCCCCTCATCCAACCGTGCGGTCAGTCCCAACCCTCCCCCCACCCCCCACCAATCCTCCCTTCCAGAGTTTTTAACATTTAGTATTAAATAATACCTCAGATTAAAGTTAGGATAATATAATTGACATTGCTGGATTCCTTGTAAGACCAGGAATATTTTGAATATAAATGCCATATATTTTGCACAAAAGATAACATAGTTACCTAGAGAAAAATTTTTATCTAAAAATTGTATGTTTAATGCAAAATATATGATGTTTATATTCAAAATGATCACCAAATTATAAGAATTCCAGCAATGTAAATTATATTCTGACCGGGTAATTTGTATGAATTTTATGAGCTAAAACAAATATCTTCAGTAAATAAAAAAAAAAATAATTCTTCACCGGGTAACAGATGGTCGGTCGGTCCCTCCTTCCCCCCCACCCCCCACCAACCGTCCCAAGGAGATGTGTGGGATAACCACTAAATTTTAATAAATAATACCTCAAACTAAAGTTAGGATAATATAATTGACATTGCTGGATTCCTTGTAAGACCATGAATATTTTGAATATAAATGTCATATATTTTGCACAAAAGATAACATAGTTACCTAGAGAAAAATTTTTATCTAAAAATTGTATGTTTAATGCAAAATATATGATGTTTATATTAAAAATGATCACCAAATTATAAGAATTCCAGCTCTGGT